GTGCGGAGGGTCTCTCCATCGACTTACTTCCAATTAAATAATACATCCCGAACATATACATGAATTCATAAAGTTCTAAATGAATGGGGTTAAAGTGGACCTTTACAACCTTTGATTAAAAATATTTTTAGCATTCAGCTCTGCATGTTGATATGAAACCATCTTACATTTACTAGTTAAACAAACATATTTTTCTTTTACATAAAATTATTGTTTTTCCACTTCCTGGTCCTCTTGGGCACAGATTATGTAATGTGCCCAAGCGCTGCATCCTGGGAAGGTTACAGCAGCAGCGCATTGCTGGGAAATCCCATCTGTAATCTCACCAGATCTCAGGGAAAGGCATTTTGCTCCCGTGAGATGATGTGCCAGAGTTCCAGGAAGTTAAGGGATATGAATTCATCTGTGCTTAGTAAAAATGCCCACTGACAAAAGAATGAGAAGGAAAAGAAAAATGAGGTATGCAAAGAATAAAAAGCCGGCAATTATCTATAAGTTTGTAGATTGTCATTACTAAATATTTCTAAAGGTGTATTTGTTGTTATTTTGAAGATATGGGTAAAGTTCCTCGTTAATACGTTCAATTGCTGTGCAGTTGTCATCAGCAGCTTCAGAAAGCATTCTGTTATGGCTATTGCCAATAAAGGATGAGTGATGAAATATACAGTGTATGTATTCATTTAACCTGTAAACGTATGACCTTGATTGTTTTAAATATCTATTTAATACCTATATAGCTATGTAAAAAGACTGATTGTTTTTACTTGAATTAAGATCAGTTTACAATCCATTGTTGCATATTGAGACGAGAACGTTAGCCAGTCATTCTGAACTGAATTTATATAATTTTTTTGAACATAATTGTATTTGTGATTTACTAAGACCGATGCTTTCGGACAGCTGCTCCTGCTGGTGAATCTTCAGGCTCCAGGCCCTGAAAGTCAAATGACTGGCGCTGCTGATAAAAAAATTGAGATCTATCCAAGAAACACTTGAACTTTAGATATGAAACCTCCTCAGCTAGCAGAATAACAGAGGACACATGCAATATAAGTTAGGCTTTTATGGAGCAAAAGAATTGTATTGCAGTGTTGTATATTAAGGTTGTGTAAAGATATTACGGCTATGTAGGAAAATCCATGGTTACCAAATGTTTCTCAAGCTGGTCCTCAGGGACCTCAGCTCAATTTCTTAAGCTGCTTTCACAGTATCACAGGTAAAATAATAAGTCTGTTTTTTTAAGAATGTTTTAAAATAACTCACCTGTGCAACTACACAGAAAGGGGAAAACATGGATTGTAGCTGGGATATACACACTATATAGTCTGCATTATCATTAATTCTGATGGGCCCCCAAAGCGTATATCATGGTGGTCTGTTCCTATCCATTTTTCTTCATACTGTAATTTGTATTAGGGGTCGATTGATATAATTTTTTCAGAACCGAAACCAATACCGATTATGGGCCACCTTTTAGGCTGATAACAGATATCAGGTGCTGATATTCTGTTTATACTTCCACCGCTCCAAGCTTGCTCCTGTGATGGACTACAACCTCAATACAAACTAGTAGTCCATCACTGGAGCCATTTTTAAACTTTATTTTATAGTTTATCCGATTAACCGATTAATCGAACTTAATAATCGGCTAACTAATCGATTTTGAAAATAATCGTTAGCTGCAGCTCTACATCTGACTAGGGAAACTTGTGTCAGCGGGTGAACATATAGTCCGGTCACCAGATTATGAGGTCTATTCACTGAAGGGTGAAGAGTTTAGAGAAGGCAAGAGAAGTGAACAATCTAGGCCAAAAAAGATGATTTGGAGAAATTCTCCAATTCAGCTCACTTTCGAGTTCAGCTATTTTGCCCTAGATCGTTCACTTTTCCTGCCTTCTCCAAACTCTTCACCCTTTTGTGAATAGACCCCTATGTGTTCATCTGCTGGTGGCAAGATTCCACAGCCTGCAACTGCATGTAAACAGCAAGCAGTGGGCAGGAGCAAATTGCAATAGTCAATAACAGGCTTGCTAGTGCACCCACTCACTGCCTGCTGTCAATCAGCAGAGTAGTGTACCTGAGAGAAAAGTTATCTCTCAGGTCTACCCCTCTGCTCAGTGGGCAGGTACAATTGCTCCTACCCACTGCCTGCTGTTTACATTCAGCTGCCAGATGCTGTATCTAGCAGATGAATGGGGTTGTGTGGGTGGGAGGCACACTGGAGGCACTGGATGTGGGGGCACAATGGAAGCACTGGATGTGGGGGCACACTGGAACCACTGGAAGGTTGTGGGGGGGGGCATACTGGAGGCACTGGATGTGTGGGGGGACACTGAAGGTACTGGTTGCGGGGGGCACACCGGAGGCACTGGTTGCTGCTGCAGCAGCTGGGCACCTGACGGTGGGGCTCCCTTTCACTGTCAGCACTTGGTAATATTGGTAAATTTGAGACCAATTCCGATTTCTTAAAAATGTGTGAATATCGGCCATAATAATCGGTAGATCCGATAATCAGTCGACCCCAATTTGTGTTTTTCATGATTACTGTGAATTTTACTAAAAATGTTACCATTGATTTCCATCATTGTTACAAAAAAATAAACATTAAACAAAGAATATGAATTGGAGACAGGATTACATGCAATAACCTGATATTTTTTAAAAGGCCATAAAAACTTATGGAGAAGTTAGAGTGCATCTATATTCTGGTAAATTTACAACAAATTGAAGGTTAAAGAATATTTGTTTTTAGGCCTTTTTCAGTAATATAGCAACAAGAAATGAGAAGGTCAAAAGAAAAGGTCAAAAAAGGTCATAACAAAGTTATTAAATATAACCTGGTAACACGGACTGCTGTTTCCAGGTCACATTGTATAGGCATGATGTTTCAGCTTTATTGCAAAGTTCAATACTCCACCTAACAAAAGCAGTGTGGTATTCCCTCCATCCCAAAGGACTTTAAAATGAAAAGGTGGGGCTCCAATATATTCTCCAAGTTTCTTAGCTCTGAGAACATGACTGTTCCAAGACCCTCTCATGTATGCCATATGGTCAAAGGATTTAAGAGGATCTACTGTCATTATTTCTGTAACAGTAGGTAGAGATCATGGGTCCCTAGAAGATGGAGACTATAAACATTTTATTATACCCTTGCCATTAAAGTCCTGTCAGCACAGGATGCTTCTGCAAGATTCAAAGTTTTGTGAGCAACTGCATACTTAAATTTAATGTTTATTATTTATTATTGGTATTTATATAGCGCCGACAATTTACACAGCACTTTACACAGTGCACATTCACATTAATGCTTCCAGCTGCAAAGAACAAAATGTCCTCCATACAGATAATAGATTTCTCTGTGGAGGTCAATCACACAGAGAACTCTTAGTACTATTGACACTAATACAATTAGTATGACACAAACTTAGCTTTATACAAACAGTTTTTTGGCATATATTCAACGCAGCTTTTATGTGGTGTTTGCAACTGCTTTATTATCGTTAATATTGTTATAAAGTAATCTAATTCCTTACTTTAGACTATTGGCTTCAGCTATGGCTGGTGTTGGAAGAGTATTTTGAGATGTTATTTGAAGACTCTCCATGCTTTTCATATTTGAATTAGTATCTAATTACGGTACAGTTTGATTTATTTGTGTTCAGCCTCTTGTTGATGCAGCAGTCTGTCACATTGCAGTTATTTAAGCTCACTTATCACTATAATTACTATCATGTCATAGACACTTGCTGTGCTGGTGTTTGCTGGTATTCAAAGATCTGTAACCTGTCCGCACCAAAGACAAACTTTCTTCTGGGGTTCATACGGTGTTGATGGTGTAGACTCTGGGTAGTCAAGCTGGGACAGCCATGTTGCTGAGTTGCAGCATCTTATTCTAACTGTGGCTGGTAGAACCTTCTGTGACCTGTGGTGAGCAACATGCACAGGAACTTGACTGTCCCTGCTTGACCACCCAGAGCCTTCATGAAGAAAGCAACAATAGATAGATCTGTTGTAACATAATGGAAAATGTTGGTTTTAAATGGTTTCAACTGAAATATGTATTGGGCGGGTTAAGGTGTCAGAGGAAAAGCTTCCACGGAGCCAGTTAGTTCATCTGCTGACAAGAAGAATGCTTATAGGAAGAGAAAGCAGATTGACAGACAGATTAGCTCATCTCTGAGATGCTTCTCCTGTCCATAAAAAGGTTGGGGTAGGTCCAGGATGACCTGGGTTCAGAAGAAGTGGGTTGAATGTTGCTGGACATCAGGCTAAGGACATCTAGCCACAGAAAAAAAGTACTGTGGGGGAAATCTCTGGATTGAAGGTGATTTTTTCAGCAACAGCTGGCTTTGTTATTTTATCTTTGAATGAAGGGGCTATTGATCTCTACAGTATCTTGTTATTTTTGCTAAGCACTATTTGCTTCTAAATTGCCACATAATATAGTCCGTTGTAGGTAGAAATGGGTACATGTTATATTAAGTGATTGCAAGGCAGGACATAAAATCAATGTTCTTCTTTTCATTAATGAGACCCTTTGCTTTGCCTTTGCAGGGCAAATTAAGGCACTTAAATCCCCCCTCCCCCAACAGCACATAGCACATATTTATATTTTAGATAGATAGATCAACTGTGGTTTTTAAACTGGGCCAATAGTGGGATTATCTGTAATGGTCCTTCATAGTAAATTTTTAAAACCTCATATATCCCTCAAGTGGATATTTCACATTAGGGTGACTGTGAGAAAAGGCAAAAGGTTCTCCCTCACTTTTTGTCCCCTGGGGCAGGCTTTGATTTACAATCAGAAACTGGGTCACCCAATGTCTTTTTCTGTATCTTGGAATTTTCAGCAGGGATGCTTCCCCAGGATCTGCCTTGGTTCCTGCTCACCTTGCCGTTTTGGGTGGACTGCCCCATTCATTTCTTTTTCTTGATGATGGCTGTTAATTGTTGCTTTTTGTAAACGTGGAAACACTGCATTACTTGTTTCCCTTTTGCAGATGGTACTGTGAAGGGAAGGAACTTGAAAACTCTCCATATATCCTAATACAGAAAAACGGGGATCTGAATACTTTAGTTATTACTGAGGCCTTTGAAGAGGACACTGGACGTTACTCTTGTTTTGCATCAAATATTTATGGAACAGATTCAACGTCTGCAGAGATTTATGTAGAAGGTAACCTATTGAAACATGAATCATTCTACTTGTAGAAGTTCTAGCATTATTGCTGCTGTATTAGACATGACACTACATAATTCCATACTCATTTTCTAGAACAGGTTAAATATAGACAAAGGGGGAAACATGATTCAGATGTATACAAATAGCAGACAAGGTTGACCAGGCAAACCAGTGATGCAATTCCCCATCTGATCTCAGATTTCACTTTCCATACAATAGTTTCACAAAGATCCAATGCACATTGTATAAATACTCTCTGCATAGTCTGTGTGCCTCTTCATGCCAATAATTTCAAATGCTTTAAATCATGGAAACAGAGTGTGAAAGAGCTAACCAACAGCTTTGAAACATATAAGGATAATAGGAGTTGCTACCGCTTACTTAATTTTAAAGGTGCAGACTCTGGATGTTATCTTAATACCTAATAAGTCACTGACCTGAAACAAGTCTTCAGCCAGTGAAGTCTGAAGAGTTTAAACTCCTGTTTTTCATACTTGTTCCAATTACCATTCACTCACTAAATTGCAAACCCTGGATTAGGATGACAGGCTTACTGCAAACGGGTTTCCTTCAGAGTAAATCCATCCCTGACTACTCGTAATGGAACTATACCACCCTGTTACTTCTTGAACTTACCTCCATCTGGTCCTAATGCCACTAATGTGTCCTGTAGTGATGTAGGGGCCAACAGGAGCAATCACAGCATGTGTCAGGGCCCCCGGGTTTTCAACACACCCAGAAGTGTTGGATGCCAGCAGTTGCTGGAGATCTGCATTGCAGTGAAGTTTTAGGACACTGCCCATTGGAAAGGTAAGTATTTATCTTCTACTTTTACAGGGTGGTTATATGAGCAGTTCATGGCAGTCACTTTAATGAAAATATTTCTACTTAATATCTAAAGCATAAGGTGTATAGGCTTACCTGGAATATCTGCATATTAGTAGTATGTGTGATAAGGCTTTCAAAAGGACAAAAAGGGAAGAGGTTCAAAGAGGTCTCTGTGACTGTTCCCCATGAACATGCCACACATTTTTTCACTTCAAACATGAACATTTGAAAGTAAACCTTTTATTGCCCAGGCCTGCAAACATAATCATACCTTCATAAACCTCTCCATCTGCATCCCTTCTTTCCCCAAAATGAGCAGCCTAAACAGCATTATTACTGATATTCAAATGTTGGCTTTTTCTAAAAAGTCATCAGCTAAGCCCTCATCTTTATCTACATATTCCTGCTGTAGAGCAAAGTTTATGTCCAATGATTATGTACCAGTAAATTGTGTATACGCTGAATAGTTCATATACAGTATGATGGCTTGTGTAATCTTTGGCAAAGTAAATGATTGCTTTAAACTGCTTGCTTTATTCTTCAAACTCAACACAATTTTTTATCTCTAGATAGGGATAAAAGAGAATCTCCTAGATAATAGCTAATTGTACATGACTTGCACAGTATTTTGATGACTGGGTGCTTATGTACCATATGCAAATGTGACATAATTCTTCTTTTTTCTTTAGGAGCGTCATCCTCTGATTCTGAAGGTGACACAAACAAGACTGACATAGATCAGTACGTATGTGGTGTTCAGTTATTTCTTATTATATTTTATTTTTGAAAAAGGAATCCTGTACCTAGAGAAATGTAGAGTATTTTTTTTAGAAAGAGGGGTCAGCAGTAGCAGAGTCCAAATTGACTCAGTACAGGTTTCCTTCAAGTCTGGTATGTATTTGGTACAAATACATTTTCTTTACACTTGCTTCTTACAGTAGAGGATAGATATTTGGGATATCAGGTGTAGTTTGGACAGAAGATAAATGTACACAGTAGGTTGAGCAGATAACTCCATTAATCAGAAACTTATATGATTTACATGTTCCATGGCCAGCTGTTATTATCAGATGTCCGCACGTCACTGTGTTATGTCTCCAGAATGAGACCTTTTCAAGTCATAATAGGATCTCTCCAAATCAGCAGCTCAAGAGGTTGACATCTCCCAGTCAGCAGCTCCAGAATGGGATCTCTCCCAGACAACAGTTCCAGAACGGGATCTCTGCCAATCAGCAGCACCACAATGGCTCAGTCAGAAGCTTCAAAATGGATTCCCACCCAGTCAGCAGCTTCAGAATTAGACATTTTCACATCAACAGCTCCAGAACAGTTAAAAATACCTAATTGAATACTATACATAACCTAATAGTTGCAAGCTATGTAGGTGATTTTAGCTGCACTTGAGTACAACTATTAGGTTGTGTCGTTTAGTACATAGTTTAGTAAATAATGATATTGAACACTCCTGAGCATCGACAAAGAATTTCCGGCATGCTCAGAATTCGTTGTGTAAGCGAGCCATGGTTATTCCCCTTTCTGTTAAGAAAACAGATTAAAACTTTTGCCAAACATTCTACATCTCTACACCAATGAACTGCGATAGTCATATAACTATGCAATGTAGATGTTGACTATGGGGTGCCAAGTACATTTGAGCATCCAAAACATTTGTTAATGCAGACAAAGATTTTCCAACATGCTCAAACAAGCGCTGATCCCTTTTCAGTGGATCAAAGGAAACTTTTAACACACAGGTTATCCAAGTCGACAAGAACACTGTGGTGGGTTCTGGCACTACAACAGTGCAAGTGATAGGCACATATCTTACTACCTATCAATTTCAGTGAGACATGTATATGTCTAGAGCCAACCTCTAAGAGGACTACATATCAGTACTGGAATATGCACCCTTATAGCCAGAATAAATTAGGTTCATCATTTTATTACTTCCAATATTCTCTTACATATGGCACATGTTACTTGCATTTAAACTGACTTGTTTCCTATTTTGTTAGGTTGAATTATTAAATACATTCATTTATATTTTGCTTGACCTAAATGCATACATTTGTCTTTACTTATTCAGATTATCATGCAATTTTCATTGTATATCTTATTATATTTAAGTATAACTAAATACATTTTAATGTTGGTAAATACTGTTTTCATTCAGATTTCAGATAGTAAAAAAATGTTAATTTACTTTTTTTTAATTAAAACTGCTCAAGTATAAACATACTTATTCATATACATTTACTATGTATTTTTAACGATGAACAGCCCTACCCATGTTCTGATTTAATTCTGTGGTTATTTCAGAGGTTGTAATTTTGTGACTTTGCACCTTTTCTGTTAAGTCTCCATTTTTCCTTGTTGGTGTCCTATTACTGTTCCTTTTTGCCATTGTAGTTTGTCTATATATGGTATATACTATTATTATTTTTCAGACTTTCCATTCACACATTAAATCATTTTTCAGAATTTTTTTTTATCGATGTACTTGCAATTTATACGCAGACTGTGTAACTGGTAGACATGTGCACTGGCAAAAAATTAGTTTTGATCCGGATTTTGTGTTATTTAGTTTTTCAGGATTCGGGTGTGAGAAGTCAATTCAGATTCGGAATTCGGATGAAATTCGTTAGCGGTAGTTCGTTCAAACGGTCGTTTCGTTTCGTTCATTCGTTCGTTCGTTGCAGCAAAGTGACATTTGAGGGGGGAAAAATGTTTTGCTCCTCCTCTAATGTCACTTTGCTGCAACGAACGAAAGAAACGAATAAGAAACTAAAACGAAACGATTGTTCGAAAGAACTACCGCTAATGAATTTCGGAAACGGAAATGCGGATTCGTTTGCATTCGTTATATCTGTAATTGGGAATTCGGATACATCCGAATGTCCGAATTTCCGAAAATTCGTTTGAATTTCGTTTCGGAACGAAACGAATTGCACATGTCTATTAACTGGCCATATTGGAATTCTGGAATTTTTGTAGATTAGCACACTACATTTATAGCTGATACATATTGCTAAATTGGCAGTCACTCTAATATGGTTCATAGTTAAAGCTGTGATTATAATTGTAATTTCCTTGCTTTAATTTTAAGCTATTTTTTGTTATTTTATCTGTTTTTGTCTTTTTGTTAGCGAATGTTAACCCAAAATATTCAGATAAATGAATCACTGACTTTGCTGTATTGTTGTGAAGGTCACAGGCTGAACATCTGTCATTAGCTACTCCGGAGATGCCAAAGGAAGTTGTTCGCCAGGAGATAAATGTTCCTATCACAGTTGTACAGAATGTGCAACCAGCAATAACGCAGCAGGTAAATTATATGTAATATGTTCACATATAGCATATAATGAGACAGATATTTTATATCCTAGAATAAATGAATACATAAGTAGGTGTAACTTTCTGTGAAACGGACATGTCAAAGTGATTAGTAAATACTCCTTTATAGGAAGTTAGAGGTACATGCAAATCTCAACCTTTGCTCTAAAATGTAAGCCTTGCAAAATCCCTTTCAGCCTCTCAAGCCACCTGTCATTCAATCGATCAGTAGGAAAGCTCAGTAGGCTGGTATAGTCTCAGACTTAGCACAATACATCCCTTTTCTTTTCTTTGTTGAAGATTAGAACTAGTTCAAGTCAGTCTAGATTTCTAATCATGCAGGTCATGTGGTTATCATTTGATATTGAAAATAAAATAATTCAGCCTGTTTTAGATTTAGACATAGGCATATTAATCTTCCACTGGATTAAAACTGCATTTTCCATCTTATCTTTTCACCTAACCGAAACCTAAATGAAATGATAAATGGCCATGGGGATCATATTCCTGAAATACTTTGCCGGATTATCATCAAATTAGGTCCAGTACCTAATGTGCTCAATAATGACCCATGTATAGAATTTCTTAGATCGTGTTAGCAAACCAGTTAGTTTTTTAAACCAGTTCTAAAGCCGTCTTCTTTTAGCTTTGGGTTGAGTAGGGAATAGTTAAAACTTATTTTGCTCTTTGTGTCCCATTGGGTAGATATTTAGTCTTGAAGATAATGGTCACCAAACAATAAAAGTTGGGGAATTTCCTCAGCAGGGACACAGTTAACCCATATATTTTGGGAGATGCAATTGTTAATGTTTATTGATTTTCCTTTCTGAATTATCAATATTTCACAGGGCCCGAATACATACCTACAAGGACTAGATGGAAGACCATTAATGGCTGCTCCAGTTTTCACCAAGGTAAATTATGTTAATATATTGTAATGAGGCAAAAAATATAGGTAATTACATTGCACAAACAAAACATTAATATTTAAAATATTTTGAGAGTTATTCCATCCATGGAGACTGGAATACTACAGATAGTAAGTAATTCATCTTGTCTAATTATAATGAATGTGCTGCGCTTCATCTAGAACAATACATAAACAAATCTCTATAATAAATATGTGCTTAAATAATACATGCAATCAAAAAAGTGTTCACAATGAATCTTCTTGTAAATAATAGTCCTCTGGAAAGTCCAATCATATATTCCGTGTTCAAATATACACAAATGTGGAATCACACGTATATAGTGCTCAAGATTTGTCCCAAGTGCACCACGCTCTTTATCCTTCCACTGTGAAAGTTCTTTGTACAAAGTCCATACGTCAACTCCAATTATCACCCAGGTGCTCCCCCTCTCAGTGGCCGCTCACCTTATAAATAGACCTGAACAGGTCTAGAATCGCTTTAATGGGTCTCCAATCGATCTTATTCAAAGGCCATCTCTCCACAATCGTTGCACAGAAAATTACGTCAGTGTGTCATCACGACCATATCCAATCAAACATAAAAACAGCCCATAGCGTAAAACCGCAAAATTAAAAAACCTCCTTTATTTAAAAAAACTACTCACATGAGGAAAGTAGACATAAAACTTCAAATAAAATGTATGCTCGACAACTCTCTCTCCGTGTCACAGTGTTCTCTGGGTGCAAAGACAGATCAAACAGGAGCTGTGCTGCCGACCATGCAATCTCCAATCCACGTCTGCGAGACTCCGCCCTGGACATGAAGTGAACACTTTTTTGATTGCATGTTTTATTTAAGCACATATTTATTATAGAGATTTGTTTATGTATTGTTCTAGATGAAGCTCAGCACATTCATTATAATTTTATATATTCAGAGGGTAACACTTCTTATAGTGCTTGCAGCTACACAGGGTTTGGCGCAAGGTGCTATTTGTCACTTGAATTCATCTTGTCTAGTTGCATAGTTGGTGGCTTTTAAGATTTTACATTTCTATATTCTTTGTATACGCTACACACTTGAACGTGAGAACAATTCTCATGAATAAGTCCTAAAGTTTCCATTCTAAAGAGCACAAAGGATCTACCTGTTTCCACAGTTAAACAGAAGATGAGAATAGATGTATTTAACCCTTTTCTAGACATTTAATCATCTTTCCTCAGTATTTTCATTTAGAAATGAATGCCGAGTTCCAGCTCAATTGTCTTTATTATATGTTTTGTGTTACTAAAAGTAATTTAACTCCCTACACATGGTCCTATATTTGTTTTTCCGTTTGTTTCATCTGTTCTATTTAATAGACATTGCAGGATATAACTGCCTCTGAGGGTCAGTTAGTTGTGTTTGAAAGCAGAGTGAAGGGATCTCCATCCCCGAAAGTCGAATGGTACAGGGAAGGAACTCTGATTGAAGATTCTCCGGATTTTCGAATTTTACAGAAAAGTATGTTATTCAAAGCACTGTCCTATTTTCTATTACTATTTTTTCTATTACTCCCAACTACTTCTAGTTGTTTTGCATAAGATATTTTGTGACATCGTGTTTTCCTTATGTATAGGGAATTTAGACTGAGGATATCATTAGTAGCTTTGAGACTTTAATTATAGACAAGGTGCAAAAACTAATCATGTGTCAGCCTACATTAGCATGACTACACTCATCGTTTACAATCTGATTTGTAACTGGTTGATGTGGTATAAACTACATTATTATTTTCAGTGTTATGAAATAAGCAGAATAATGTAAATTTGACACCCAAATAACTGTAAGGCAATCTATCCACAGACATATTTTAAGGCCAAATGGACACCACTCCAAATTATTGAGTTCAGGTGCACAAAACTAGGTCCATAACTTCATGGTTTGATGTGTTTGGTGTGGAGGAACTGCAATGGCCAATACAGAGCACTGACCACAACCCTCTTGAACACCCCTTGGATGAATTGGAACACCGATTAAAAAAAAAAAATTGTGTCGTCGTCTCCCCCCTTATACAGCAATGCAAAATAATATAAAGCTACATACTCTGTACTGCTCCAGATTTGCTGCCTGATGTCCGGAGTGTCTCAGGAGGGCTGTGCAGGCTCTCAGGTGGTCAGTATGCGCTCTCTGGTGGTCAGTGGAGGCTCCCCGTGGTTAGTGCGGGCTCCCTGTGGTCAGTGGGGGGCCACTGTGGTCAGAGGGGGCCCACTGTGGTCAATGTGGCCACTGCAACTCTAGTAGTTCTGGTATTAGTATAAACCACTGTGGGAGGAAGCTGTAGTGTGTTGGCCTGCTGCATGCTGGAAGCTGTAGTCCCAGGAGCCAATGTCAGTGCTTTGCAGGCCAATGTCAGTGGGGAATAGGTTAATGGGCCAGTGCCCCCTGTCAGTGCCCCCCATGTGGCGGAACTACTGGAGTTACAGCTGTGACCGGGCCCTGGCGTTCCACCACTTGGGGCAGGAGGAAGAGGGCTCGGCAGGAGGAAGAGGGCCCCATTAACCAACAAGGCTCTGACATCCAGCAGGCTGAGGCTCCACAGCTCCCTCTCACAGGGGCATATTATAAGGGTGTAGGTGGGGTAGTTTGCAGGGGGGGTATCACGGGGGGGTCAGGAACATCATCAATTAGAGATGTTTTATAAAACAGTTTTATCTCTATTATTTAAATTATAGCTAAAAAAAAAGTATGTGGGGGGATGCTCAATGGGGACAGTAAAGACTTCATACTGACCCCATTAAGCATCCCTCACAATTTTTTTTTTTAACCATAATTTAAATAATAGAGATAAAACATACTATAGAGGCCGAGGCACACAGTTGTCACACACAGCAGATATAGACTGTACTGTATCATACAGTACAGAACAAGATGGAGAAGAAGGGGAGTGAAAAAATACTGTCATACCCAGTGTCACAGTACCTGCTGGCTGCAGCTGTCCTGGAGCTCTCCTCTCTGATGCGGTCCACAGTTCTCTGTCGGATCCCCGCCAGGAAGCCTCCTCTATCATCGCCAGGCTGGACTGCACGGACCTCCAGTCAGAAGTTCCCTCAGTGACTGAGGCTTAGTCACCTTACCTCACTTCCACCCCACTGGCCACATGTTCCTTGCTGCGCTGTGCCGCTGCCTGCTGGAAAATGTAGTTTGCAGCTCTCTAAACAAAGACAGGTGTCTGCTGATTATATGACACGGGCGGCGGGCGGGAGCTCCGTGCAGTGGGTAGTCCCCGTCGGGTACTCTTGTTGCTCTCTGGGCCGCCCCCCACCCCCAAATGACGGAATACCAGGGCCCTTGCTGCGCCCCCTCCCAGCCTGCACCCGAGGTGAGTGCCTCACTCGCCTCGCCCTTCCTACGGCCCTGCCTTGTCCAACATCAGTAACTGACCTCACAATCTTGTTTTTGGCTGAATTGGCACAAATTCAATATCAATGCCCATGGTGTTGGAATTGAACATCCAACAAGCTCATATAGGTTGGATGGCCAGGTATTCACAACCTTTTTGCCATTTAGTGTAAGATAGTTGTCTGAGTTAAAATTAATTTTGTCTAAGATTGATCGTATAGTTGAGCTTTTTATATAGACAACCTTAGCCTGAAAAATCAATCCATAGAGGTAAAATTTTACATTTGTTTTCAGATAAACAGTCATTTTATAGTTAGTTGAATGATTATTACCCAGAACTGTTGCATGTGTATAATTGTGAAAACACTCCTTTTGCGGTATAGAAAATGATTACTGTTTATAGAATGATTATTATGTACAAAAGATTGTTCATTTATATGATGTTATATTGTTTGTCAGAGGTATCGTCTTATTGTCATATGTTTTTGGGTAGCCCATGATTCCTAAATAACTTAGTATTGATTGCTACCCAGCATAAAAACAAGCCTTGGTATTGCTATTGCTAATTCCGTGCACTTCAAGACAATTATATATTATATTATATATTGTATGCGGTTCAGTTTTGGTCACCAATCCACAGAAAGAATGTCCTGGAGCTGGAGAGAGTCCTGAGAAGGGCAACTAAACTAATTAAGGTGACGGAGGACCAAAGCTATGAGATAAGGTTTGCTAAATTTAGACTTGTTCACGCCTGAAGTGAGGCGATGTGATTTTAATGTACAAAATGTATGGTGGTGATGGCAAGATCAGCAGTAAACTTTTTACAGTAAACTCCATAACATGTACTAGAGGACATCACCTAAAATTGGTAGAGAAACTATGTAACTATGTAATTATGTTTGAAACAAGTTAATAATACATTTTTTTCTATTGACCCTTTCTAGAGCCTCGATCTATGGCGGAACCAGGTAATAATTTAAACCTTGAATGCAATCCCTTATCCTTGTTCATTACTATATTGCGATATCTATATTTGTTCATTAAAAATCTTTAAAAATGTTACATGGTACATGGTAGACATGCTGATGTTTTGTTGGTGGTTAGCTGGCTGAATACCCAGACAGTCATCTATTTATTTAAGGTGTTCACGACAACCTTTTATAATATAGATCAGCTATCTCAGTAATGTCATATTGCCCAAAGCTGATAATATCATTTTTGGTAGATGCTATAGATTTAAATGACCTGATAGTCTCTTATGATTTCTGCCTATTTGAATTTCTTTATCTATTGTACATTACGGAAAATACAACAGGAGCAGCTAGAACATGAAAGGCAGTAGGGAACACCCAAAACTCTCAGGAATACAGTAGACATGTAAGCCAGCAATTTGGTTCAGTTTGTTTTGTTTCGGATTTTTCGTTATTTCATTTTTCAGGATTCCGGTTCAAAAGTCAATTCATTTCGGGATTCAGATTCGGACCAATCCGAAATTTTTGTTAATTTCGGATGAGTTAAGTTATATTTATGAATGCATTTTCATTGCAGCAAAGTGACATTAGAAAACAATAGTGAAATTTTTCTTGTTAACTTTTGACAGTCTTCAAAAAATGCATTCAAGTACCCTAGCTATTCAAATGTATCTTATTTGTGTATCACTCGGCTGTAAATCATCAAATCATCTCTGAATTGGTGCTGACACTGTCCTTCCTTCTGGGGGGGTTTTTGTTCCCCATGGTCCCTGTGTGTGTTGTAAAGTAGTCACCACTCCAAGCTCACTCACGTGATGGACTACAATCTTACGTTTAGTTTACTAATTTGTATTGAAATTGGAGTCCATCAGGAGAGTGAGCTTGGAGCGTTGACTACTTTACAACCCACACAGGGACCATGGGGAACAAAAGTAGCCACCCTCCAGAAGAAAGGACAGTGTCAGCACCAATTCAGAGATGATTTTGAGGATCTACAGCCGAGTGATACACAAATAAGCTAAATTTTAATAGCTAGGGTACTTGAATGCATTTTTTGAAGATTTAACTCCTGAGTATAGTGTCACTTTAATAAAGCTCAAAAATATCCATAGTGGAAATGACTGTTGTGAAATTGCTGGAGGGAAAGGTAAGCTTATTAGGATTAGTGACTGCTAACTTTTTCTCTAGCACTATCCCCATAATGAAATAAGATCAGCATAGACCTTTTTAAATTGGCCTCCTTACTGTGTGCCAGTATGGAACCTATTATCTGAAATTCCTGGGAGGGGATATACAGTATTTCTAATTTGGAGTGTCAGGTCTTTTTATTTAAAACTGCCTTTTTCCTTCTGTCATCATCACTGCTGCCCCCATAAACTTAAAGGGTTATTAAACCCTACGCTTTTTTGCATATATCTACTGCTAGCAAGCAGTAGATATATGCAAAAAGTGTAAAAAAAAAAAAAAACGCTTTGAAAAGGGTTAATACTTACCTGTGTCTTCCCCGCGCGCTCCCGTCCGAAAATGTGAAAATTCTCGGGCGGCCGCAAAGCATCTTGGAGCGGGCCCATGCGCAGTTCACATTTTCGACCGGAAGACAAGGAGAGACACAAGGTAAGTATATGGACGCGTTCACCCGCATGCAGATACCGTGGGACAGGAAGTGCCAGCAAGGACAGAGGAGTCAGTGCTGGATCAGAGACCCGCAGCAGCGCTGGAGGGACAGATGAAAACGACAGGAAAGAAGAAGAAGATCGGATTAAGAAACATCATTTAAGGTAAGTGCTTTAATTAACATTGGGGGGAGGGTAAAATCTTTTTGACTTTAATGTCACTTTAACAGGGTTCCATATATTGCAGTGGAATATGCTTACTGATCATGCTTTTATTCCATTCCATTCCAATGCTTCCATTGTCTGCTAGTGTATGACTGGCTATTCACTTACTAATTAATCAAATATAGAAACTGAAAGATACAAAACTTGTTATGTTTTCTTCCACAGAAGAAATATGCACTTTAGTCATTGCAGAAGTCTTCTCTGAAGATTCTGGCATGTTTACATGTACAGCAAGCAACAAATATGGAACCACTTCAAGCACTGCTAATTTGACTGTGAAAGGTAAACATTTTATTTATAAATGAGCTTACATTAAAACTTTTGGATTACAAGGATGATAGTTTATTATAGGCTGGTTCATTAAAACTGGAAAAAATAAAATGAAAAGAAAAACTAGATTTGCTACAGGTGACCAATGAGAGGTCTTTTTTTATTTTGACCATATAATTAAAGTTAAAACTTGATTGGTTGCTTTTGGCAACAAAATGTTGTGCTAGTTCTCTTCTCTCCAGCTTCAATGAACCAGGCGCATTGTTTGCACAAAATAACTATTTTCATTCGTGTGAAAAATTTCATCAGAACATTCAATAATACTTCCAGAGATTTGACCAATGTCAAATTTTGTTTCCGTTTAACATTTGATTTTGGAATGAATAGAGTTTGCTGAATGAAGACCACATACATTGTACAAACTGCATTTGTTTGTAAAAAAAAATTCCAGCTGCCCGTTCTGTTTTTTTCATTACTACGGTTGAAAACGAACCTTGATTTGACCACATTAACTGTTAGAAAATGGAAGGAATGTTCCAAAAATGATGTTTTTGCAAAATGTACTGGTATATGACCAGCTTAAGAATGTATTTACCAGTTCAACTATTCCTCCAATTTGGATGGTGAAATGACTTTAATAACAATGCCATGTCTCAGTAGCAGAGTGTCAGAGAGCTCAGTTTAAAGGATATCTAAACCTGAGAACAATAATTTAATCTGTTTCAGTTAACTAGTCCTTAGATGTGGTTGGTCCATTAGTTTTCATTTTTCAGGCTAAAGAACATTTTCAGCGAATACAGAAAGTTTCTGTTGATCTTGCCAGAAATGCAAGGTCAACTCGAGTATAGGTTGAACTCGATGGACTTGTGTCTTTTTTCAACCTGACTAACTATGTAACTATGCAGTGTCCTTGTCACTTCCTGTGAGCTGAACTGAAAGAATAAACAATGTTTTCTTCCTTCTACTTATAACATCACCCAGCTATGTTATAGAAATAAAAAGAGGAAGACATGTTTGTAGTCCAGCCTGGGTGACAACCATAACTTCCTCCATTGATCAAGAGGAGGAGAGAGCATGCCACATAAGGAGAGGAAAGGTGTTATTTGAAGGATCACCAGGAAAAATCTAAGGGAAAAAAAAGCCCGGAAAAAAAACCGAGTGCAGCCACTACATTTAGATGTAGTAGTAAGATTGATGTTTGTGAGGGACGCAATGTTGTATTTTGGTTTTGTGCTGCCCTAGGCAAGACTAAACTTGGGCACCCCCCAATCTAAATTTGCCCCACCCCTTCCTGTTTAAGACATTTTGCATAACCTGTCAAAATTATCTTTAGCCGAATCCACCGACAACCTCAGCCTCCTTTCTCCGACACTGGCAGAAGTGATACAGCATGCACCTGTTACTATTTAAACATGCGCTCGCTGTATCCAGCTTCTGACAGTTTGCGCTATTAGCATAGCGGGGAAGCCAGCTGTGCATTTTGCTTATCCTGTCAGAAGCTGGATACAGCGAGCGCCTGTTAAAATAGTAACAGGTGCGTGCCGTATCACTTTTGCCAGCGTCGGAGAAAGGAGGCTGAGCTCGTCGGTGGATTCGGCTAACGATAATTTTTTCTTTCTCTTAATGGCAGGTGAGGCTCTACCTCACTGGTTTGGGGGGCACCCCTGCCTGAAAAGTGCCGCCTAAGGCAAATGCCTAGTTTGCCCTGCTGTAGAAATGCCTCTGGAAGGATGGGGGTTTAGATATTCTGTAAAAGTGATTAAATTATGATTATTCTTCAGTTATAATTATGAAAGTTGAATGGTCCTTTCTGAGGTCTTTCTATCCAAACACATATTTTGGTTTTGGGCAGATGCTGCTGAGCTTATTGATCAACTGCTTGCCACATGTCATTGCTGTCTCTGTTGGATTTTTGTAGTTTTCCATTAGGGAAAAGCAGCAGGTGGAGCGAGACTTGATTTGTGGAGAAATTGGGAAGCCTGCAGTGGGATCTCACAGCTGGAATCCCCAAAAAGATATAGTTCAGTCCCCCCCACCATCCAACCATAATTGAAACATCATATTTTGATAAATTAAAGATTGATAACATGTTAAATCGTATATATTTTGCTTTGATCTATTGCTGTGTCATACTCCATGCTGACTCAGGCTGTACCCAAATGCATAATTCATTATCTTGTTTGTCTTCTACACTTGGCTGGCATGCTGCTCATATATCAGTCACTATTCCTGATTACAAAACCATCTGCTGTGCAACCCCTCTTCTTGGATTCCCAGAATTTCCCTGTAATTATACCGACATTCCTGTGTATACAGCTTTCATAACATTCATTATTGTTTGCTCTCTATTCTGGTGAGCAGCATTGCCTTCCTAAAACAGAAAAGATTTAAGTCATCAATTCCATTAATATAAAAAAATAGTTTTTTGTCTCACCAGGGTATGCCCTCATATAAGGATAGTGGCTTAGCAAAGTGAGTGTTTGTTTTACAAATTGTACAGTACAGTAAGTACTTTTTGCTTTCTTAACAAGGTAAAACTGTGCTTCCTTCAAATATTCAATCATGTGCAATGGAAATAAAAAATACAGGGTTTTAGCTTGCAGATGATTGCATGATTAAAGTATAAACCACTCATCTGTGTGAGATGTAGTATCATACCTTCTGTAGTACAGAGCTTGTGGGGCAACAAAGAAAACTTTGGTGGCTATACTTTTTTTTTAAATTATTTATTTATATTTGAAATACCTGGGTTTTGTGTAATGGCTTAGCATTATTTATCCTCACTAATAGGGTACTGCATAGTGGTCTGAAGCCCTATGTGGACGGATTTGGGTTTGTGTCGATGGCATCAGTTTGACATCACTTTGGGACACTTCTGAGATCATACAAAATTCACCGACAGGTGTATTTGACTTGCCGTTGGCGTCTTCCTGACCTGCATTTTACCTGCTTTAAGTCGGTTTTGCATTCCCAAACATTTGTATGGGAATGCAAACCTGTTTGTAATGAAAAAGCCCATCGACACAGGTCCTAAAGCACATTACATAATTGAATAATGGAGATCAAAGTACCATGTTTTTGCAGAGTACTTCAATGCTTAATTTAGCTTTTTATGATGTTTTGCATGCATTTCTGATAATACATTCTTGTTACAGGTTCCACTGAAAATATCAATAAACCTCCCATAACCATTAGCACAATCAAGATTGACGCTTTTAATGTGATTGAAACCCCCCCAAAACCTAAGCTGGAGGGAGTTCTAGTGAACCACAATGAACCAAGACCAAGTTCAAAAATTGGCTTAAGAGTTCATTTCAATTTGCCAGAAGATGATAAAGCAAGTGAAAGCTCATCTGACGATGGTTTCATCACTGCAAAGAACTACGGGTTAAATAATCAGGATATGCTAAATGGTCAGTCATACTCAGCATTTGCAGCATCTTTAAAGGAGCCTCCACCAGTATTTGCTAAGCCTAAATTGTAAGTCATTTTGTGCTACATGCACCACATATGTACTGATAGTTTTAATCTGAATTACCTTACTCTATGTTGTTAGATAATGCAAGTGTTTGCATCGCATTCCAGTGAAGTGAGAGGGACATACAACTGGGAGTATTTTAATAGAGAAGAATCTGAAAGTACTTATATATCAAATACATGAAAATAGGATTGAAAACAAACTGACAGCATGTGATATTGATCCTTATACTGTCAGTGTTGGCCGTAGCAAACAACCATCTTCTCCAGTTCATATGGGTGTTGTGTTACTCTTCCAGACTCTCTTCTATAAATGGTACCCACTGTGTACAGAGGAAGATCAACACAGACAATCTTGTTTGCCACTTTATATACTTTGTGTGTGTGTGTGTATGTATATA